ATAGTGATGCCATCTGCTTCACTCTTCCCACTAAGGATTGCTTTAGCTATTCTGGGTCTCTTATTTGTCCAGATGAATTTCACGATTGCTTTTCTCTTTCTATGAGGAATGCCAACGGGATTTTGATCAGAATTGCATTAAATCTGTATAGTGCTTTTGGTAGTATGGTCATTTTGATAATATTAATTCTGTCTATCCAAGAGCAAGGTAGATCTTTCCATCTTCTAAGGTCTTCTTTGATTTCTTTCTTTAGGGTTCTATAGTAGAAACAACTCATTTTAAGAATGTCAGAAACTCTTCACATATTGTTTAACATTCATTTAATTTAACAAAATGAACAAAATATAATTCTGGAAATGTACAACAAATGTGACCAATTTTCACTATTCTTCATCAATGAATTCATAAGAGGTGAAATTGAGAGTACTGATGTGGAAAGGATTTCAGAAAGAATTAAATGTCATTGCCTATCAGAGTACTTATTTTGAGGAAAACCTGCGAGTTTAGAGCTAAGAAAACCATGTTAGAAATTATTAGAAAAAATCATGTTTCATATTACCAAACATTTTGTGGAGAAGATGCTGAGGTGACAAATAAGCACTCAACTATAATGTTAACACATGTTCATTGTGGGGTGGAGCATGACATTGTTAAAAGAACTTTATAAAGCATAAAATATCACATGTGGGACAAAATCCTAGGTTATTTCTTAAACAGATAAAAAAAATACTTCCTTAACTAGGATAGGAGAAAATTAGTCATCTAAATCCCTGAAACAAAGGAGCTAAAACAAAGGACCTTGTATATATTATTTACTTATCAACTTCTTCAGTGCAGAAATGCATATGCCTTACAGAAAAGGCATACAGTAGTCTTTAACACACTTTTCTTAGGAACAGTGCTCATACTTTAATATCTATCTTTTAAGAATAATTATTTCACAGTGGGAACGTAAACGATTTTACTTTTCAGAGTATCTTCTGTAGCAGAAGTAGTATTTAAAGTAGTGAAAAAATAAAATTAAATTGAATATTCAATGACAGAGGATCCATTAAATTTTGGTATGTCCCTGGGCATGGTGTCACATACCTATATAGTTCCAACTACTCAGCAGGCTGAGGCAGGAGGATTCTTTAGCTTAGGATTTCAAGGCCAACTGGACAATATAGCAAGAACTTGTCTCAAACAAACAAACAACAACAACAAAAATTACATGATAAACTAGGTGAAAAAGGAGATTATAAAATTATATGGTTTATATTGTGAAAACATAGAAGGATATGCACCGTTATATTGTGATTCTGGGTGACAGAAATTTTATAATGTGGATGTATACCATACATATCCATATATATATATATATATATATATATATATATATATATATACACATTCAATACAGGGTGTGTATGTATATATATGCATATATATACACATTTATATATATATGTATATATACACACATATATATACACACACTATATTGTATGTGTATATGTATATAAAGATAGACAGAGTAAAAGCCAGGGAGGAAATACATCAAGTTATTAAATAAATTAACATTTGGATATGGAGATTATTAATGATTTCTACTTTTTAAGTTTTTTCATTTACATGCAGATTCCTTGTATTTAAAAAGTTAAAAAAAAAACACAAAACAGACTTTTAAGATAACAATATGTATTACTTAATATATTATTATAGAATACTTATAATAATTATACCATCATTTCCAATATTACAAAAAAGAAGAAGAAAAACACAAAGGAAGCAGATGACCCAATATATGTAAAAACTATAAAATCTTATTAGAATACATAAAGTCATCATAAATATAGGGCCCACAGGTTTGGGAGGAAGGATTTGGCAAAGACTTTGGCTACTTACTTGTGGAGGGAAATTTGAGCACCAGAATTCTCCCTCAGGAAGGCTCCAGTCACCAAACACTTGAACCTTGATTCTAGGAAAAAAATAGGAGGGGGCCATGGGGGCCTACTACTCCCAGCACAAAGGCTTCCCAGGGGACAGAACTGGGCAGGGGAGAGCGCTTGCCAGTTCCCTCAAATATGCTGCATCTTTTTAAGTACCCCAGAAAATACTGTCCACCAACACCATGAACACTGAGCTTGCACACTGGGGACCTGCCCCAGTGTGGCATCAGGGGAGTGGATTAATGCATTAGGGAATGTGGAGGGAGGGACATTTGATTAAATTAGTAGTCCCCCAGGTTCCCACAGCATAAGTGTGTCCCCTTAAGATCCAGGGGATGCATACTATGTAGATACTTTCCACTCAAAAACAGACGTATGATTGAAGATAGGGAGTCATGGGGCTGCAGGTGGCTGAGGTGGCCCCCAAACCCCAGCCTCAAAGACAGGTGAGTCAGATCCCCCAGGCTGTTGCTGCTGCTGGCAGAGTCATCAGGTCAGATCTCAGGTAATAAGCAGAAATGTGCACCCAAGGGCCCCTAGATGCTGCCTGGAGTGACCCTTCAGTTACAGGGGCAACAGGCTGGGGTAGGGTCCCTTTAAGCCACAGGGGTCCTAGGGGTAGCAGAGTAGGCAGAAGGTGCAAGTGGAAGATCCCAAGATGGTGGTGAGGACCTGTAGGGTGAGAAGTAACATGAGGACAGAGAAGAGCCTGCCAGGCCTGGTGGTGGTAGAGAGGTTCAGCGGCTAGAGGGCAAGCCAGAGAAGCTGATGCTCTGGCGCCGCACATGGGCATGGCCAGGGGCCGCCAGGTCCTCTTTAGGGTTGTGAATGAAGTCTCATTCTAAGCCGTAGGGGAAATGGCTCTGGAGGTAGAATTTGTGGCGAGTTCCATCTTTTACTTGGAATGGGTGAGTGGTCTAGGACAGCTCACCCAGACTATGAGCAAAATGGCACTTCACCCCATAGCAGCAGTGCCTACTCTCTGAGAAGGTTCAACAGAGCTCAGTCTTGTAGTGGGAGAAGGTAGTAGGGGCAGCAGTAGGTGAAGTGGGTGAGGGCGACTGCTCAGGGCCCAGGCCAGGCACAAGGGATGCAAAGCCAGTGGGTGCAGGCACCAAACCACAGCGACGAACCTTCACTAGGCTAGTGGAGCGGCCAGGCAGGTGGGAAGTTACTCCAGATGGGTTGA